CTGCAGTTTGTTGTATGTCCTCACATTGATACCAGGAAAGTGAAAGCTGAAGCCGTTCTTCTGAAACGACTTTACATTGCAAATGTAGAGCTTTTGTGAATGAAGCAGTTTTCCAATGAGTACGGAAGAAATTAATATTTACAAAACCTATCCAAATGAAGTTCGAGAAAGAAGTTAGACGGTAATGAGGCACTACGCTCTGGATAGCGCAATAGCTGGTACAAAGCTGCGGATAACTATCGTAATATCGATGGAAGAAGAGGTTCTTAAACATAAATAAACAACAATAAACATTTTAGCTATTTGGCAAAAAATGATTCCTAAGGACTTGTGCACCTCTGCGTCGAGCTACAAAATCACGTTGACATTTGTCACTTGCTTATTAAACTGCTAGAAAAGGATCTTTTTCGAGTCAGATTATGACAAACTTCTATCTGCAAACCACTGGATTTCAATTTTGAAGCGCACTGTTATTGCCTGATCAAATTATTTTATCACTTACGCAAAAGTTCATATTTGCAAAAAAAAATAGTAGTGTCTTGTCGAGATAGTGGTAGACCTTATACAAGTCACGTAGCAAACCAAATGCATTACGGTAACACGAGTGTTATTTACGGGCGACCTTAAATTCGTCTTAAGGTCTGGCTCCTGTTGCCAAGCATTCCGTGTGGTCTCTACAAAATTTCCAAAGAATGAAGCCTCCCCTCGAGTAAGAAAAGTCATAAATATGGGATAATTTTCAGGTATGTAGATTGCAAACGGCCTTTACCCACCATGTAAAACGTATACTTGAATAAAAAAATGTTCGGTTTATTTTAAAAAAGCTTTCCATTTTAGATAATATAAATATACAGAATCGAGTCTAGAGCAACTCTCAGAACTTGTTGCCTTTGATGATACGATTAATATTAGATTGATGCTAAATAATCCGCACGCGAAATTATAATGGGTTCCCCGCCAACTCAGTGTCTTGGACGTGTGTACGCCATGGTTTGCTCGTTCTTGCTTGTTTCATGGTTTGCTTCTTGAATACTGCTGACCAGTCGGATCGCCCGGCTAACGGGGAGGCAGACGGTCGGTCGAAAGGCTGAAAACAGAGGCGAACAAGATCAAAAACCAAACAACTAGGGCTTGTACAAATGGTTTTTGATTCCTTGTATACAGTCCTTCGAAGGGCTGACCGACCGTCTGCCGCCCTCCTCCCACCTCCCCCCCCCCTGGCGCTGCCTCGTTCCACGCTGGCCTGCCGGCGGACTATGAAAGCAGCCATTTCGTACCGTAGTGTATTTTCACAATGGCTCGCGCATGTGCTCCGCGTTTTCTTCAGAATGGACGCACTGACGTGAATTGCGGCGTACAGCATGCAGGAAGTGGGAATTTTTGGCTGAACAAACACATACTTTATGAGGCCTCTCCCGTCATGAGTGGATTTCTGCCAAGAACTCGAAAAAGGCAGCTTCCGAGCCGCTTTGATTTTTGAATTCTCGATCCCTCAAAAAGTTGCCCAGATGTCTGAATAAATGGAATGTTGTTGCAGGCAGGTCTGTTGAATAAGGTGGGTGAAAGAGGGTTTCGATCCGCAGCTCATTTCATTTTCTGGAAGACGATTTGTGACACATGCGGTCGGCCACTGTCTTGCAAAAGCAGGCGATTTACTAATACTGGCTGCATTTGATCGCGTGTACATCTCGTGAGTTTGATTACAGTTAGAATATGCGGTAAAGGTTTGACCGGACGATGAAACGAGTAGTGGATTAATCCATGGCTAGAACGTCAAACTGTCATCATTGTCTTTTTGACGCGTGAAATTGGCTTGGGAACAGTTGTTGGAGGCTCATCTAGACCTACCTCCCGACCAAAAAAACACGTTACATTACGAAGAAGGACTGACTCAAAATCATTCGTCCTCACCAAGAAAGTTGCCTCAATTGTTGCTGCTCCGTGAGCTGGTGTGACACCCACTTACCAAGTTTCTTCACCATTCCAAGCTGTTCGAGGTGGACAGCTACAACTGTATGGGAAACGCCCACATGCTTTGTAGTTTCTCTCAATGGTAGATCTTCCTCGACTGCTCTTAGCAACTCATCGTGATCAGCTAAAGATGGTCGACCAACTCGCTGTTGACCATTCAATTACTCGTCTTCATTTTTCAACTCCTGAAACTGGTGACGAATCGCTAGCTTCGATGCAGTGTCTTCTCTCCATGCAATATTGATGCTTGTAGCTGCCTCGTTCGCAGTTCCGTCAAGCTTGAACTTGTTAAATGAGAAAATTCGAAAAGCAGCCTCACCGATTTCTAAAAAAAAAAACGTCTTGGATATTTTTGAAACTTCACGGGATTTCGTAAAAAGCGCTCTGACAGAAAGAGCAACTTTATGGCTCACCNGATCTTGTCCAAATCGCTTAATCGTTATTTATTGTGGACTATTCTATTTTTTCTACTTTTCCTAGTCTGTAAGGGATTTATTCAGGAATCAAAAGTGTTCTACATTCGGTATCTCCTATAAGTTTCCATTATTTATTACCTTTTGGTGCAGATCGTTTTGCGGAAGTTTTAACGAACATCATTCGCAACTTCGAATGTTCTGCTTATAAAAAAGGAAAGCGTCAGTACATGTCGGAAAGCACTTTCCGATCCACTTTTCGCTCCTGTTTGTATCTTGTCTTTCTAACACCCATAGTTTGTGACACTGTTCCACTGCTCACTACGACTGAGTGGAATAACGTCGCACTGTCAATGTGGCAGACCCAACAAATGTGGTGGAGTTTGCCTCCAAACTTTTTGTACCCTACCCTACCTTATAATTTAACTTTTAATCATCGAATATATTCCTAGGTTTGAATTCTCTGTCCTCAACGAAGGGACTCTTGGGTTGATGGTAAAACACACATGAACTTTGGCATACATACCTGATTACATGCATACTGCGAGATAATCGAACGAGTAACCGAAGATAAACAGAATAATGTAATTTCCACTGTAGTGAGTGCATCGAATCGGTGCTCATTAGGGTCCATTCTATCTCATTCATTGATAATGGCAGCTGGCGGAGGAGGTCGGTGTATCGTCATCTCCCGATCACACCTTTTGTTTTTTAGTATTGTTGCATCACAGAGTATTCGAATAGACGACATCATCATTCAGGAGCTGCGCAGGAGAATATATGTGTATCGACTGGCAATGGCACCGCTGATTCGTTTGACATATTCGGTACCGTAGTTGGTTCCCTGAAGTCATTGCTGAAGTGGTCATTGGTGTGCGAGGAAGTTGAGAAGAAAGAGCAGTAAGTTCATGAGTGGTTGTATGCCGACCATGTTTTGTATATAATAAGTGTAGCGGATTCGTTCTTCCCCAAAGAATTGCTAGTTCTCCAAGCAATCAGTCGACCATTTTCCAAGCCCCTCCCCCCATCGACCGAATGAGGGTGGAGCTCCATGCGAGAAATAGGGGAATTCTAAACATTCGCTCGAAATGGGATTGCTAGACTTCAAAGAGAAAGAATCCAAATGGTGCATCAGGTCAAACACTCTTCAACATTTTACCAGTGAAATATTCTAGCCGAAGGTGATGTCATCATAGTTGATAGAAAACTGTTGTTCTTGCAGTACCATCTGAAAGGGAACGGGAGGTAATGAAGAGCTTTCCAACCATACATTTCGATGCCATGGGAACAAGCTCTTCTCCAGTGCGAAGAAGTCGAGTCCATGAAAGAAGACCACAATGATCCTCAGGGATCGCCTAATGATAACAGCGACGATGGACCCATAACTTCGCGAGAGAAACCTCGTACGTTCATGGGAATATAGAGGCTCTAGAATACAACGTAGGATCCAGCTTTGTGATCTGACCCATGAGCTCAAATTTTATGGCGCTGGTAGAAGTGTCCATTTCCTCTTATGGTTTGAGTGTAGAAGAAAGCCGTCCTTCTTCATACATAAAAAGGTGAAAATGTAGTTGGGTG